GTTTTGGGTATTCTTGCTCTAAATAACTTCTGATAGGCTGCAATCAGGCAGAAGCAATCCTACCCCAATTATATTTTGAAGTTATGTGATGAAGTCCACTGATTGAAGCAGCACTCTTCATGTTTACTTCTTTAGTTCACTGAGCATCAAAGGTAGTGATGTACCTGAAAAGGCACAAGTGTAGTTTAGGGCAGAAAATGTTTCTTCTCTGTGCCACACCTCAAAGGAGTTCTGACTGAGGTGAAAGCACTTGGGCAAGGACAACAAGGAGAAGTTGACTGTGATTACTGATTACACTGGAAATGGCTAGAGAAACAAGCTGTGGTTGTTGCCGTGCTATTGTCTGGGTCAGACTTGTGGGGTCTTAAGTTATACAAGGGGTTTTGTGTGTGTTTTCAGATGGAGGGCAGTACTTATTTTCTCATGATAGGATTTCCTCATGTAGAAAGTGACAATTCAGTGGGTAAATTTATTTGTGGTGTCACTGCGATTTCAGGTTAATCATTATCTATTGTTACAAAAAGATATCACCAATTCCACAGGTGTAAAAAAAGTCTTAGTTAGAAAATACTCTCTAAGAAAAAATAAACTCTTCAATGACTGTAAGGAATTTAATTTTCTTACTAAAATTTGTTAAGACAAAATAACGTCGAAGAATTATTTTTCCACAATTACTTTTTGCACACTGTTTTCTGTTCCCTGTAGAGATAACCATTCTAATATTGAGCAAAAATCACATCCTATGTTTCAGAATAATAGTTTAAAGCAGCCTTTACTGTGTTCACTTAAATACTCATTTAAATGATTAAGTTCTCTGTATTTCTGAGTAGTAAGTGCACAGAACTTTATGCCACTTCCAGGCATAACATTGCTTCTGTTGGAATTCCTGATACTCGCAGTCTGCTGAAACATGAGTTCAGCTACCAAATATAGATGAGTGGGGTAAGAATTACAGTCAGATAGGACAGATGGAACGCACAAGCCACAGTCTTCTCAATGCTTACTGGGGACCAAGCAATCTTCAGAGAATAGCTGGAGCCTGCTTAAATAAAGAAGGAGAGAAACAACGTTACCTGCTATTAATTATACTTGAAACTCCTCCTTCGTTATAAGGTCTGTTTTTATGTTTTATGCCAAATCTAATTTAGTAAAGTAAATGTGCAGGGTTTCAAAATCCAGAAGGTAAATATGTACTTTTTTAAAAAAATGATGTTATTAGATACACTTTCTTTTTTAATATTACTCTGTTGAACATATTGGCTTTGGGTTGCATTTCTTTTAGGTAATCAATTTTCATCGCACAGTATCCCTAAATTCAGGATGCTTGTCTTTGTTTTGAATGAGACCTTTGCTTTTCTGTAGTCCTGTGTTTTGGTACTTATTTCTTGAGTCACTTAATTTGATGAATCCTTCAAATGTTTTCTGAGGTGGTTATAAACTGGTATGCTCTGTGTTCGGCTACTGACCACATTGCTGCTTACAGCATCTACGTTGCTTTGTGAAGGAATATTTAAATGGCATGATATTAGAATGCATGTTTACTGTGAGCAATTTTAAAATACAGAGCAGATAGGAGTACAGCAACAGTTCTTACTTAATAATGCTGGAGCTATAGCTAAACAATCTCATCTGCATGCAACACTGCATTTTACGTTTGTTTATGTCTTTAAATGATACAGTATATTGCTTCACACATTACCTAATGAGTGATGATGATGAAAACTGTTAAAAATATTCTGTAGTGTAACGGGGAGGAGATAGAAATAGCATTAGGTATTTCTAATCATCATCTTATATGCAACTTGATAGGGTTCACGACATCACCTCCAGTTTGCTGCAATTACAAGTCACTCTAAAAGAATAGCAGGCTTATGTATTATGTGAATGACAAAAAGTCTTTATACACGTAGCGTTCATTCCTCTATTGGTAGGAATACATTTAAATCTATTTTTGGACCAGAATTTCCTCACTGAGAACACTAATCAGCACCGGAAATGGCCAGTAATGAGCACCTTTAAATTGATCAAGTTAATCTAACTACTCAGCTATCAATTGATTTACCTGAATTTGAACACTGAGTGATGGAAACTATGACACATGCAGCCAGCAGGTTTTTCTAATGAATCAAAATACAGCATAAAACGGAGTGTTAGGAAATATTAGATAATCATTTCAATCGTTGTGTCAGAGTAGCGAGTAATGGGTGAGATTTTCCATTGGCCCATTTCCATTGACCCATGGAAACGATGGAGCAAATTGGGTCTGGAAGTCTAAGAAGTTTATCTGAATACATAAGATATCACTTGGAGCTGGAAGCTTGCCAGGAAGCAGTATGACTTAGATTAAAATAAAGATAACAGTTAAGCACAGAAATTCACAATAACAAATTATCCGAATAGAAAGCTAGTATATTTGTTCATTTCAATATGACCTTTTAAAATCTAAGGTCTCCAGATTTAACCCTTTGTTTGCAGGCATCTGTTAAGCTTATGCCTGAACAGCTGAGACTGTAGACCAACTGTGCTCTTGGCTTCTCAGATTCATTCTTTGAAGCTGCTGTATGGTAATCAAGTGTACTGTACATCCTTTTTTAGATGATGTTAACAATGCATTGGCATGGTTGCTAAATTTCTTGCCCTGTGAACACAGATAAAAAGGAAGAAAGATGTAATCCCATCAAATAAGGTGCCATCGAAGAAGACACCTGTCAACATATTCTACAAGAACACATTTCAAATCCTAAAAAAAAAACACTTAGCTTTGCTTGTATTTCTTTTATGCATTAAGTTGTAATCTGTTGGCAAGACAAGTAGAGATAGCAAGAGATGCATATGCCAGGCGAAGAATTCCAATAATCTATCAGTCAGTTAATGAATACATGCCGGATAAGCCCCAGGGAAGTGACTAAAGGTTATTGGAGCTTGCACAAGCTGATGTAAAATAGATCTGAGTGCATCTCATGGCTGCCAAGCCACCTGTATTTTGGTGAAACAATGCTTTGGAGCATTAGAAGGAGAAAATGTTTTTATGAATATTTTGTGTAGAATGAATGTCACGTAAACCATTATCAGAAGAGAACTGTCAAGGATAATTAAAAATATCGATGCTCGATGTAATTAAATAGCTTGCGGAAGAAACACTTTTAAGATCAGATCATCCACATTATAGTGACCAATAGGACACATGAATTTCAATAAGTGGGATTTCATGCTGACCTTTGCCTTGGGAGAACAGTCTTCTTTGTTGGCTTTAAAGAAGCAGGCAAGTCATCTTCATCCTGGAATTACGTGGAAAAACTGAAGATAGATCCCTGAAATATGGAAGTAGTGCAGAATGGACCTCGTGTGCTCATGTGTGGCAGGATGATATATGGGTTGTGAAACCTGTTTCCTCAGTGTTGTGCTCTTAGCACGTGTTTAGAGAAAGGATGCTATGTTTCAATAAAATCTAGCACATTTAAAAATGATAATACAAGAAGTACCACAGTATTAAATGCCTTGTGAGTATTAACAAAAATTGGTATCTTGGAAATTCTGATCCAGACATCCTGAGAACTTGTACTTGTGTACATTCATGTAATGGTTTTGTATGGGAACTGCTGAATCATGACCTGAACCTCTGTTTGACCACCTGAGGTGAGCAATGAGTCAGCCCTGGGAGCACAGGTGAAGACAACTCTCCTGCCCTATTGGAAGGGGTGGAGCGTGGCTCCATCTCTCCTAGACCCCATTGAGGAACTGACTACCAGTGAGGAAGGATCTCTTATGGAGAGTGTTCTTCTTGGGGTCTTCTGAGTGAGCCCAAGACAAGGGCAAGCTTTCCATCTGTTCTTCAGTGTGATAACCTGTTTAGCCTAACTTTCCTCTATGTTTTTTAATAATAATGTCTGTATATTCATTGATTACGCACGTTTCAACTAGAGTAGTTTGCTCTCAGAATTTGATTGATAGCAGTGGTCTGTGAGAAAAGAAAATAATAATAAAATGCAAGTTATTGTAATTAAACACTGAGTAAGTATAATAGCATTGTGGTGACAGAATAAATTGCTCAGACTGATCTAGCAGAACTGAGCTTGTGCTAATGTACAGAGGAAGGATGCCTTTGGAGTCCTGAAGAAGACAAAGGAGGAAAAAATACTCATAGGGGCTTTCATTTCTGCCTAGAAAACTTTTAGTTCTGATTTGTTTGGAATTTTGAAATCTAAATCAAGGTTTACAGCAAGTATTACGTGGACAACTATGTTTCTGCTCTTTACCCAGTTTAGTGTCTAGCTTATAGGGTCCAGAATATAGCAGAGTTTATTGACCATTTCCATTGTGTCGTTTTTGGTTTTGTTAAACAACTGTTTGTCTTCCAGCATGCAAGATGGAAGCTGTGGCCAGTCATTGCCTCTTTCTTTAATGCGGAAGGAGACGTACTGTGCGGAGAGGGGCATCAATCAGGGATATCCTAAAAACATGACGGAAGCTTTGCCGTGCCAAGACATTTTCTATGATTCCCTATCTGGCGTACAGAATGGGGAATTTTCAAATGAACTTTCTGCCTTCCTTACCCAGGAGGAGATATGTAAAAGTCTTGACATAGCTCGGGAATCAATTGCCAGTTCCATGAAGGAGGATCAGAATATAGCACCAGAGTTCACTCATTTCAGTACTTCTGTTTCTTGTGCTTTAGAGCATGCTTCTTTTCAGGATACCCAAGTGCACGAGCAAGGTGCTTCACAGAGGTCTCAAGCAAGCAGCCTGACTTCATCTTCAGCAAGCCACATTCCTCCAGTGAATCAGAAAGAGCAATTCCCCTCACCGAAAATGGCAAGTAGTTTTGTCACAGTCTCCAGGAAGCAAGAAAGCACCTCACCTTCGCTAGCTGCTAGTCCCAGCTACATTAGGAGCCTGAAACATTCAGAAAAGCATGCTTCAGGTGCGCCCTGCACGAAGTCTGACTCAGCGTCCCAAGGAGAGGTTCCTTTCAGGAACAAGCTGTGTGACAAAGCTGCCACATTCATTGAGGAACTGTCATCTATATTTAGAGAGGCGGCAAAGACAAGGGGCCGAAGTCCTGATGGGGACTCTTCTCCAGACAGTGGATACCTGTCACCGAAAAAGCAGCAATCCACATTAAGTGCCTCAAGGAACAGAGACTTCAACAAGCCACATCAAGAGACCGAGCCTGGGCCAAAACTATCTGGGGTTGACCTCAATGGAGAGCCCTGTTCTGAAAAGGAGAGCATCACACAGAGTGAAATGGTTCTTTGTCACCCTTTCGTCAATGCAGGAGATGATCGGCCTTCACCCCCTCAGTTCACTCAAAAGCTCCGGAGTCAGGAAGTTGCTGAAGGAAATAAAGTATTACTGGAGTGCAGAGTTGCTGGCAACCCAGTCCCTGATGTCAGGTAAGTATAGGCCTTTAGCAAAGTCTCTGGCTATCATCTTCTAAATGCAGAAGATACCTGAGATGAAGTGTCAGTGGACTTGCTTGGAAGTAATAAATAACATATGAGGAGAGTATCCTTCAGTTCATAAGCTGTAGTAATAGACCCAGTCCTCTTTAGATCTCTAGAATGTTTAATTACTTGGGAAATAAGGTTCTACTTGATTCAAGAGACACATGGCCAAGTTGGAAACCAAGTGACTAACAGTATCCTTTGTGATTTGTTTCCTTAATGTAAGGGGAAGAATTCACTGGTTTCCCCTGAAGTGCTTGTGTCAGTCATAAAAACACTTCTCTACTCTCAATTATTAAGAAGGGTTCTAAGTTTCATACCATGGTATGAGAAAACCTGAAATTTGCTAAATCTAGCCAACTATCTTTTTTTTTTTGAGGAAATTCCAGAGGATGCTTATATGGTCCCCATTTCAGAATTCCTTTTGATACTTTGTAGTGAAGTTTATGTGCACATGGTTCTGTTTGATAACAAAGCTCAAATATAATGAGCCTTGCCAACATCAGGACACTCATCCAAAAATACAATTGTAATTCTCCATCAAGCAATATCGTAGGCATGTCATCTCTCTAATAGTTGTTTAGTATTTTAGTTCTGCTGGGGCTGCAGAAATGTTCCAGATGTTTATTCACCATCAAGCAGTCATGCAAGGGTAACTGTAGAAGCAGCACAATTAAGAAAGGCAGGGGATCCTCCTCCCTCTTATGTTTTTTTTTCTTAGATTCTTCTTTCCACCTCACAAAGACTTTGCAGCCTGCCAGTGGTACTGCTGTACACTTGAGTGCAACAAGAAACATTAACTTTCATGGAATCTTTCCTTGTTGCTGGATTAGATAATGTATTCTTACTAACACTGAGTTATAAGGTAGAGTAATAGCAATGGACAGAGATACCTCCTCTGAGAAAAATAATTACAGTTAATTAATAGTCAAAGATGGTTCTACCTAATTTACCTGTGTATGCATTTGGTATTTAACCCGATCAAGTCATCCTAGATTCTGTCTGCAGTCACTGGAGGGAAATGTATCTATTAAGTATCTATTAAGTCTCCTACTTCACTTGTTTCCTACAATGGCAAGAGAAAGAAGGCAAATGCTTGTGCGTGAGCATTTTGTTAACAACTGGCTATACAATAGATGAGGCAAGTCCCACACATCCTCACTTCTCAATACTAATAGAAGGCACAGAGAGAGTTTGTTTACCTACTCTTAACCACAGGTAAAGCAACTATAAGAAAAAACAACTGAATTGCCTTTACTTGCAGGTGATATTCCACCTTGATATATAATTGCATAAAAAGAGCTTAGATTTTTTTTCTAGTATTTGAATTTGGATAACATTTTCACTTTGGTAACTTGAGCAGCAAACTTATAACATTTCTCACTATGAAAGTGTAAGAGTTTTAGGTATTAGTTATCAAGTCATTAGTAAGACTGCTTAAGTTCCACGAGTGGAGACAATACTTCATTACTAAAAAAACACTGCTTCTCTTCAGTTGAACGTTGCCACCATAGTTCTGTTATGCTTCAGTAGATACATCAGGCTTAGAGAGTCCTCAAGTGTATTTTGCGAGGTGAAAATGATCTTAGAATGGACTATAAGCATGGAGGATCTTTACAAGTGACAAAAGTGCAAAGGAAATCTAGTAGGCAGAGCATTGTGTCAACGGGCATTTATTTTAATAACAGCAAAAAAAAGTTCTGGTGCTACTCAAATCTTGTGCTCTATTTCCTGCAATTGAGACGAGAGCAGTTGTGTTGAGAAATGATTAGGAGCCATTGATTTCTTGTATGAAATACAAACAGTGGAGTTTATGTGAGTTTGACAGCAACGGTGAAGCTGCAGTTTTGTAAAAGCAAAGACTCTGTTGCCATGTTTTGGTATCTTATTGTCTTGATCTGTGTGTCTTTTGTGGTATGACTACAGAGCAAACTAAAGTAGGTAGTTGTGTGTGAGCTGTGATGCTTACTTGCATGAGTATTTTCCAACACTTTTAGATGTTTCAAAGACTAAATATCAAGATAGTGACAAGAAACGTTGGAGAAAAGGGATTAGTATTCCTTGTTTTTTAATGGAAACCTTTCTTTTCTGAACCTTAACTCTTGCAGAATTAAATGAGAAGGGAAGTATTAATGTCTGAGAAGAATAAGTCATGGAAAACACCAGCAAGTTGATAGAATCAGAGAATGGTTTGGGTTGGAAGGGTCAAAGGTGATCCAGATCATCTTTGATCATCATGGCATGGTTGCCACCCACAAATCAGGCTTCCCAGAGCCTCATCCAACGTGGCCTTGAACACTTCCAGGCATGGGGCATTCCACAAATTCTCTGGGCGACATGTTCCAGTGCCTCAGCACCCTCTCAATGAGGAATGCCTTACTTATATCTAATCTAGATTTACTTTTTCTAAGTTTAAAGCCATTATCCCCTGTCCTGTCACTACCAGACCCTGATCCAGAGTCTCTCCCCGCTTTTCCTGTAGGCACCATTTAAGTACTGGAAATCCACAGTGAGGTCTCCCCAGAGACCTTTCTTCTGCAGGCTGAGGAAGCCCAGCTCTCAGCCTGTCTTCCCAGGAGAGGCAGTTCAGCCCTCCGATCATCTTTTTAGCCTTCTCTATACCCATTCCTCCAGGTCCGTGTCCTTTTGCTGGGGGCACCACAGCTGAAGGTGAAATAGAGGGGGGAGAATCCTCTCCCTTTCTTGCAGTTCACGCTGCTTTTGATGCAGCTTCCTGAGCTTCAAGCACACGCTGCTGATTTATACTCAGGTAACAGTGCATGGTTTTTAAATCAGTAAAATTTTAAAGTAATGTTTCACATATTGATATTGATGTGTCTTGACTTGTTTCCTTCTTTGAAAATGGTAATTTCTGTTCATAGCTTGCATCATTGCTGACTTGAAAAAAATACAATTCATTTTAATTTCTCAGTATTTTACAAAGCTTCTCGAGAGTTGAATAGTCTTCAACTTGTTAATAGTTCAGTAATTATTAATAATTAGCTCACCATTTGTGAATAGACTTAAAAATGGCATATGTACTATCAAAAAGTAAGAATTGCTTTTCTACCTTGCTCCTAAAAATATGTATTCCTTTAGTCTTATTATCATTATGGTTCTTGTGGCAACCGAATACAGCTGCCTTAAGGATTCATTGCAGACCATAAAATTCTGCACCTCGACCTTGCAATCACTCTCACTCGACTGAAGAGGTCTCTCTCACAGCACGGCCAGGCTTCTCACAGCCTGCGTTGCTTTGGAAGCAGAGCAGCGCAAGGGGGCAGCGGAGAGCTCTTCCTTCAACAAGGTTTGTACAAACCTTAGGGCAAAAGGGAAGATTGACCCAGTGCTCATGACGTTGCTCTTAACCTCAGTGGGACAGAGCAAATTCCAAGTATTTGGAATGCAGTGAGATGGATTGGAAAGATTTGAATATCTATGAATTTGTTCAGTGGGGGGAAGAAAAGGATGTATAGAAGGCAGCCACTTCCTTTAATGAAAGCTGCTGGATAGATAGAAGGCAGGCATGGATATTCATGTGCTTTCCAAGAAAAATGTTGAACAAGCTGAACAGTTCTGCGAGTCACAATAGCAGATATACAGCTTGTTGAAGTGGAGGTGCAGATAGCACACGAGCCATAGTCTGCACATCTGCACAGAGCTATATATTGTGCAGAAGCCAGGCTTCAGCTGTTAGGATTCTTCCCAGAAAAGCTGGTTTGGATAACATAGCCACTGCCAATAACATTTTTGGGATCCTTTCTGTGGGAAGGAAACAACCAAGAGCTATAGTATTGATGGTAATGATTCTTAACTTTTTAATAAAGCTTGAGTAGTGTGCTTGAATAGCATGTTGAACAAGACATTTGACAACACTAAGTACCCTTAATTCAGACAAGTCCTTGGGTGTGTTTCTCATGTATTTCTTTAAGGTTTTTAATAGTCAAACTTCAAAACTGTTACTTGATCATTTGTACATCTTATCTACACAGATTAGTGTTCAGAACAACCTATCCAGGTGGTTCAGGTCCTACTTTTCAAATTTTTCAAGGTGTTTGAAATGCTTAAATTTCAGGTATCTGAATTAATCGAAATGCATGTTTATATTGTTCAAGTTGGAAACATGAGTTTTGATTGAGACAAATGTCAGAACATGTGGATAAGCAAATATTCTGCATCACTGAGGTTTTTTGGTCTATTGTCTACAACTAGAGAGGACAGCATTTCTGCTGAGCATCTCAGGAAGCAGGCTCTTTCCTAGGTGAAGTAACCATGCCAAGTCCAGATAATGGTAACAAGATAATCTGGGGAAGCTTCACAAAACAAACAGTTTGCTTATTCAAGCATAGCTTAGGCTGGGAAGTGCACTGATGCTACAAAATCAATGTTAAGGGGACTCCAAACGGTGAATGGGTGGGAGTGTTGGCAGGGCAATATTTTGGGCACTTCTCCATTTATCTGGTGGGTTGGAGTTGGTTTTTTTTAATCATTTATTATATTATTACATATAATATTATTATTAAATAATATTTATTTTAAATAACCCTCAAAATAGATGAAAATTTGAGAGCACAGTTGAAATTGATATTATACTTGAAGAAAATCTGAGAAACTTCAAGTAAACTACTGAAAATTACTCTTCTAATATGAGGAATGTGCAAAAAAATAGCCATATACATGGCTTTAGACTTATATTTACATAGGAATTGAATGAGACTTGGATGAATGACAAAATAAGAAAGCACTGTATGTCTTTGGAAAGCTTTCACTAACTTTGTCCATGTTAAATGTATGTAGTTTGTGGTGTTTTTTGAGTTTTTTAAGATTTAAAAAAAAACGGAGTAGAACTAATTATAAAATCAAGACTTCCAACTAGAATGGCACAAAAGCAATGCTAGAGGCAATATTCCCAAAAGCTGCTTTTACTTCATATTTCAGCATTTATTTTTATAAACCCTAGGTATTGTGTCTGGACCTTGCTTTTGTGCAAAGCTTCAACGGCCAAGGTAGCTTGACAGCGAGGAAATAAATGAGTAATTTACTTAGTAATTTACACAGACTGATTGAAAGCACTGATCTGTGAAAAGGACAACTGAATTTGGAGGCTGAGTAGAATAGAGGTGGGAATGTACTCACATTTTAGGAGTGGATGACTTCCTTTTGTACTGAAATGAGAAGAGAAATGGAGTAGAGAGGCTTTTCATAAAGAGAAGCGTTTGCAGTTGATGCTTTTGGTTTATTTACCTATCAAAGTTCAACAGGTACACAGTACTATTGCAAATCTCGTTGAAATGGTTCTGCTTAACATACTTTGACATGTTTGCTCATTTGCCTAAAGGCAATTCCACTTGAGTTGTTTAAGATTCTTAAGGTTAATTAAAGCAGCTTAATAACGCTATTTGAACAGGACGTACTTTTGTTAGATACAGTGTATTTCTTTACAAATGGAGTAAATACAATTACCACTGTGCGTTGTAATGCTTCAAAAATTCTTTCATAATGCAGAATTTGAATGGTATCTGGAACATGCTTGGTAAATGCGTTCCTGTCAATGTGAAAGCTAAGTTTAGAGATCTTGCTGATGACATCAAACAAACAGCTTTTCTGCAAACATCACTGATGAAGAGAAGTATTGAAGTTCATTCAATTAGGGCTGATAAGAGAAGATGGGAAATGCTGCTGGCTTTTCAAATATAATAGATAAAGCATAGAAGAAATACTGTTAAACAGGAGCAAAAAATGAGCTTATTTCATCAGTTCTAGAACCTATTAGATGTAGTAAAGCACTGCATATTGAAGTGCTTACTATGGAACAGGCAACAATAACCTTATTTTCCTTACGTAATATGCTACAGTTACTGTGCAGTGTAGAGTGTAAACTCAAGAACAGTAGTGTGAACTTGAACGCATTAGTCTTCCTATGGGAAAGGGCAGTAAGTTAAAAGAGCCTGAGAATTTAATGTAATTATCAGGTGGAATCACTTAAAATACTACTCCTGTCTTCCCCTCAGCTACCTACAAGTGAAAGCAAGTAGAGGATTAACTTTTTTGTGTGACAAAGCCAACGTGAAGTTGTTTCATTTAGTCTAACAGTAACACGACTCCTCAAATAATTGGTTTTATTGTTCCACCATGCTAATAATATACTGCACAGCATATATGCATTAATTTCATTGACAAGATTACTTTATGTATTTCAGTGGAATTTGAGTGCTTTATAAAAAGCCTACATAACGTATGAGCCTCTTTCACTTATTTCCTCTTATTTCATAAGGCTGTGCTTTTCAGGTGGCCGAGGGAAAAAGATTTGACATACTGTTAATCTTTTGTTTATGTTGCAACTGTCAGGTAATGCGGCCAACTGGAGTCTTTCAATGTTACAAGAGATTTAGCCCAGCAGTAGATCATTGCCTAGGAGAAGACCACTTGAGTGTTTGCCCTGTGAGTAGCTGAGGCTAAATATATGTGGCTGTATAAGCCGAGGCTGAGGGCTTCATGCTTCTATAAAGTAATCTTGACAAGTCTAAATTGATAACAAGCTTCATAGAAGACGGCTGAACATTGGGACACAATCTGAAATCCTTAGCAGTTTGTTCTTCCAGTATCTTTTTTTTCCCCCTGTGGTGTTAGGCTTTATCCATTCTACTGAAAATGCACTGAAAATTAGGGGCCAGCTATAGTGTCAGATGCTGGCAGAATCTCTTCTCTGTGGTATATGGCTTTCCACATAGTCTGAATGTGAAGGTCAGTCGTCTTGGTCAAATGTGACTTAGTATGTTATGAGAGCTTTGTTACACAGAGCAGTGCCATTCTCTCAAAAATCAGCAAAATCAGTAACAAAAACTCCTGTTCTATCACATAGGCTCACGTTCTTGTTCATTGTTGAGTTAGAGAACACTGCAAAAATAAGTGTTGAAGTTATCAGTCACATAAATGCTTTCAGTGCCTAAGACAAGAAAACGCCGTATTTTATACGCGGTGAAGAAGAGAGGCTCTGTTTTTATTAGCTGGTTTTGGGATGTTTTGCTTTGTGGTTTTTGTTTTTGTTTTTGTTTTTTAAAGGTAGAATGGTTTACAGTAACTCCCTGCTGTAATTATATATTCTACATGCCTTATGTTGAATTGTAAATGCCGTTATGAGCTGGCCTACAGGTAACTCTTAGTAATGCCATACTTAAGCCCAAAGATCAAATGGAAACACGGATCTCATAATGACTATAATCCGTATTTAAAGCTTTGAATTTGAACTGAGTTGGCTTAAATAACTTGATTGGGTTTTTTATTTGTTTTTGCCTAGGGATCTAGAAGGAAATTAACATGTAATTTGCTTAGTTTTAAGTGAGTAACGACTTGCTTATTTTCAATTTAAGCATCATCTGCAAGAAAAAAAGTAACGCAATACTCACAGTTTGAGTTATTTAAGTCAATATTTGGAAATTTTAAGGTGTTAGAGAAGTGAACTTTACTTATTGTCTATGATAGGCAGGTTAAAAATGATGCTGGGTTACAATTCTCCTAGGATCGAATATCCCATCGCTATTTCATGGAATGTGAAGGTCAGATTTTTTTCTGGTCTTTTGTACTTTTCCTGCGAGCGTGTTCCTCTTATAATTCTGAATGTAAATACAAGCTGATCCAATTAGTTTAGAAATTAATAGACAGTTATGTAGATAACTAAGTTAACAAACGCAATGTATGTTTTACTTTCCTTACTTTAAATAAATAAAATCAACTTCTTTCTCTTAGCTACTTTTATTGGCAAAAGTCATTCTTCATTCCAGTTACATTCCCTTATTCAGATTTTCCTACTTTTCAAACCATCAAGACTTACATTCAGGTAACTGACACATCTACACAGCAAGTAGTTTGTTTACAAGCAACATGAGCAAAAACTTTTAGAACTTGCAGTGAGCAGTTATGGGCCTGAACCAGACAAAAGCTAGTGTGTTCACATTTCAGTGTTGCTGTTTTCTTTAAATGGGGAAAAAAAATCTTCCAGGGAAATCCTTAAGCAGAATTACGAATACTACTAATAAGGGCTGAAAGGGTGCATTTTTAAGGATCTGCCCTACTTCTGAATAATCAATCCGCAGAGAAGTAATTCTTGCAGTTGTCCTGTAGAGAGTTCTCATTGCCATAATCAGTCAGTAAGATTTACTTTCCCAAATTCTTTCAGTTCTCTCATGCAACAAGCTGAGGCATCTAATTTCAGTACTGTGTGATAGAACATGGTTGAAGATTACTGTCTTCCAAACGGATTTTTTTTTAAAGGAAGTTGCGAGTCTACACATCTATTCACTTTGTATGCCTTTTTAATTAAATATCAATTTTATTTCTGCTACACTGTAATGATTTTTAACTGATCACCACTGAAGGAAATGAGGAAAGGAAGATACTTCTCCATATCACTGTATTACTTGACTCAAGCTTGGAATCAGTGCTGCTAGAAGGAATTCTTTTGCAGGCGTTAGAAACATGGAACATGCTGATTTGGGAAGGACTCAAAAGAACCATCAAGTCCAACCCTTGGCACCACGCAGGACCATGCAAGCTTCAAGCCCTGCATCCAACGCTCTAATCCAAACTCTTTCTCAACTCCAGCAGCTTGGGGCTGTGCCTGCTGCTATGAGGAGCCTATTGCAGTGTCTGACCACCCTCTAATGCCTAACTTTTTCTTAATATCCAACTTTATCCTCCCCAGTGCAGCCCCATCCGGTCTTGTTGCTCAGTGCTGCCCCTCTGCTTCCCTGGGAAGAGGTAGAAGGCCATGAGGCCTCCCCTCAACCTCCTCTGCTTTGGGTGAACAAACAAAAGCTACCTTGCTTCCAGACCCCTCACTATCTTTGTAGTCCTCCTTCGGATTCTCTCTAGTAGTTTCATCTATTCTTACATGTTGGCAACCAAAGCTGCCCATGGTGCTCAATGGGAGGCTGCACAGAGCAGAATGGGGCGACCCATTCCCTCTGGTGGCAGTGCTGGCTCTGATGGCCTTTTTTGTTGTCAGCACACGCACTGTGGATTTAGATAGAACTTGGAGTTATAACTAACAAGCAGTATAATATAATCCAAACTGGAATGCTGAATTTAATTTTTTTTGCATCTTTCCCATACACTGCATACAGCATGTTGCAGTCTTTTTATATCAGTATTGAGAAGATTGCTGGAGATGTGGGTACAGTCTTTTTTTGTAGTGAAAAGTAAGGGAAAATGCCTGTAGCGATACAGAGGTAGATGTTACTGTCTGCTTTCTGCCTTTTTTTTCTCTGCCTCTTTTTTCAAAGCTGTATTGCCACTAGTGATGTCTTTCAAGTTTAATTATGGAAGGTAGGAACAAGGGAAGACTTGATTGTCTGAGCTTCCTCAGGCTTGCCATATGGCTAGAAGGAATCTATAAAAGCCTATTTTCCACAAATCCCCTGAGATGTAATTTAGGTTGACTTCACCTACAAAGGAAGTAGGTGGGGACAGTAATTTGCAGTTCACTGAGGAATTGTTATAGTTGCCAAGAACTGCAATTCTGGAACATGCTACTGACTGCAAATTCAGTGGATGGTGACTCAGAGTTATAGACTAGCACGTCTCCTCAATTCTCAGAGGGTACCTCAATCACTGATTCAAACGATCTTTTTAACAACTACAATGCAGCCTAAGCAAGATTAAGTTAATCTCTTGTTGTGTAGAGGAAACACCACTCTTGCTCTAGTCTGGATGACAACATGAAGATTCGATGCATATGAGTTTATGTAGTGTAACGGTACGGCAGAAGCTGCTCCAAAACACAGGAGTGGCATAAGAGTCATGGCAAATGCCTATATAAACTGGTGCAGAAGTTGGCTTTGAATTAAGGCCTTGTCTAGTTTAATGATTATGCAGGCTCACTATATTGCTCCTCATAGCTTTGGTCCTCAGAAGGACTATTTTCAAGCAACGTGAAGATACAAATTATGTATTTTGGGTTGAAAAGGAGGACACAATGCTGAAGTTTCCATGGCTGGACAGTGTTGTGTGAATAACCTTCAGCAGAACGCAGTAACAATTCTAAGCGTGCTATCTTACTTTGCCTCCTGCTTATTTGAAAGGTGGCTGTAGTACCTCAGCCTTCAGCATAAGGACTGCCCTTTTAACCACAGCTTGACTTCAGTCATTATTGCTCCAATTAATCACACAGTCTACTCTGTTCTTTTCAGCGTAGTACCATTTCACTGAATAAAAGATATTGCAGTGTTTGTGTGCAGCTTCTATTTTGTGTTTTACTCGATATCGTATATTTTTAGGCTGCTTTTTATGTGATGTCTAGAAATGTCCAACTGCAACAAAAATATGGCATGTGTGTACGGCCATGTTGGTTTCTAAAGATGATCCTGATTTGCTGCATGGCTTTTTATCCCTGGTGTGACCGCTGTGTTCAACTTTCTCTTGTTCTGGCAAACTCAAAAGTTAACTTTCCAACCTATAAATTAAATGCTGTTTTCTAAATACAGAATAGGGAAGAAATTAAATGTTGATGCAAAACTGGATATCAACCAAGTGTCTCAAGATTGAATTTATGTAGTGCTATCCTTGACTTTTAGGCTTCCAGAAAGAGCATTGCAACATATCCATGGAATAGTTTGGGCTGGAAGGAACCTTAAAGATCATCTAGCCCCAATCCCTCTGCCATAAAGAAGGACACCTTTCACCACATCAGGATGCCCCGTTATATAGGATTAAATTTTAGACCTTTTGGAAAACCAACCAGGGCATTTTGTAATAACCCCTCAACTTAGCAAGAAATTGCATGGGATTCTTCACGATTTATTCAGAATCCAGAGCGGTTCTGTGAGTCTGAAGTGGAAGTAAAGCTGTTGACTGACAAATTTACTGCTTCAGTGCAGTTCTCTGGATCTTAGAAGAAATATCCAAGTTCTCACCTTTTTACAGAAAAATGTGATTGAAATTGATATCTTAGTTGATAGATCCTCAAATATTGAGCAACCAAGTGGCTGCTGCCAAGTGCTTCTGCCAGTGCTTAAATGTTCCACCACCTATTCTTTTCAGCATAGTTTTTAACAAACCATTGTACTGTTCAATTTTACCAGAAGCTGGTGCATGATAGAGAATATGATAAATCCACTCAATGCCGTGATCTTGGGTTCAAGTATTTACAAGGGAATTTTTGAAATGAGTCCCATTATCTGATTGAATTCTTTCTGGAGCGATGCCCTCAATTGTTCCCTATAAGGCACATTCTCCAAGCCCTTCCCCAGCCCTGCTGCCCTTCTCTGGACCTGCTCCAGCACCTCCATGTCCTTTCTGTACTCAGGT